TGCGGTATTTTAGATCTTTTCATGATGACTACAACACAGCGGTAAAAGAATCAGAGGAGATAAGAGATATTAAGTGTCATATATACACTGAGAAAAAAAAGTTAACTTGACTAAATGCGTTTAGTTCGTAATGATTATTTAGTTCAAATATTTATGTACTTAGATTAACAAAATCTTGTAATTTAAACCATGTTATTTGTTTGAATTAATAAATATTTGAATTAACAAATATTTGCTTAACAGCCTGTGACGGCTATATTTAATTGAATTAACTAATATTTTTTTGGAATAGCAAAATTTTTTTGGAATAGCTTTTTTTTTCTCAGTGTGCATAGGGCAGGGCTGGTAAAAAACATGTTTTAAACGTGTTTTAAACAGTTCAAACATGCTTAATTTATATTTTTAATATGTTTTAAATATGTTTTTTTATAGTACTGTTTAAAGCATATTTAAAGCATTAAAAACATATTCAAGAAGAAACACAATATACTTTATTCTTAAAAAAAAAAAAAACATTAGTCTTTACCAATCCTGGCGTAGGGTATTGTCTGCGTTTTTTCGATTTGAGCGCCCGCGCGATTACGGTTTTTTTTATAAGATCCGAATTACGTTCCTAGACGACTTTGTGGACAAATATTTGAGATTCGCGGCGCGAACAGTTACGATGATTATCTTGGGTGACCTCAATTCTCAAATCATGTGCGCATTTAAGACAAGATACGAGACTGCGGCTGAATCTTGTTTACATTTATAATCAGACCGAACGAAAAATGACGAAAAAAGAAACTCAAACAAATTCCAAATTCGACTAAACTCTCTTTACCGATCGCATGTACTTACCTGTTGGTTGAAGCGATGAACGTTTTCATCTTTTAAATAAAATTCAGTCAAATCTATAAATAGCAATTATAGTTTACTTTATTAAATATTTTAAATATTTGTAAAAGACATTAATTTTCAAGATCATAAATTCCGAATCGACTGAAACTCGAGACAAAACCCCCCAATAATAATTCGTTTTTGCATATAAATGTAGTTTATTTGAGCTTGTCAGTTGCATACTAATAAATCTTAGACCGGATGATCATGTCTACATATACAAGACTGGCAAACGAATATCACCTAAAATTAGAAATGTTACGTAATCATGTGAGCTAAAACGACGTCGTGAGTTAAGGACAAATCGACTAGAGCATGTGTTTCTTCCAGCCGTGTCTCGTCGTACTTCGCAGTCGTTGTATTCCTTAGTCGATAAGGATTACAACACCTGTTTTTATTTAAGTAATGTTCCAGTCATAAACATGTAATTTCCATGTAAAATTACATGCATTTTTTTCAGTGTAGTTTTTCCAAATCGTGGGAAGGTTTTTATGATTTCTCAAATCAAAACATACAAAAAACGTAGGTAATTAAAACTCACGCGATAATCGGATGTATTAGAGAATCTCGTTTGTATTCAAATAGTTAAAATTTAAGTATATTGTATTTCGGCATTATCATTTGCTCGCCGAACATACAGCAGCCAACTTGTGGAAGGACTGATTTCTCCAACTACAAACATGAGGTTGCGGATACTCGAAGCCGACTTCTTTGTTAGTTTAACTTCCATGCCGAACGAGCGCTTTAAAGATAGACTGTTCCTTTTACTCTGACTTCAATTCCAGAGGTTCCAAAAATAAGGCCGAGTTTAGATATACTGTCTCCTAAAAACGTTGGAAGGTCGAAGATCATTGATGGTTATCATATGACTACCACATTCATTTCAGATGCATTTAAAAAATGAAACATGATGGCATGTTTCTTTCTGAACAGCAGGTATACGCGGTCGACGAAGACTTGGTGTTACATTCTAACACCGAGTGAACCACATTCAGAGGGTATACCTGAGTTAGTTCGAGTTTACGCTTTTACTTATGCCCAATTACTTCATCTCTAGATAACTTTATCCAAGAGATATCTCCCAGAATACAATGGAGGTATCTCCTAGATAAGGTTATCCGCAACTTATCTGAAAGTGAAGAAATTAGGCATTAGTCCAACTATTTGAATACAAACGAGATCCTCTATACATCTGATTATCGTGAGTTTTAATTACCTGCGTTTTTTGTATGATTTGAGAAATCATAAAAAACTCCCACGATTTGGAAAAACTACACTGAAAAAAATGCATGTAATTTTACACGGAAGTTAGATGTTTATGACTGGAAAATTACTTAAATTACATATATATGATTGGAAATTTACTGGAAATTATAAATTTCCAATCATATTTAGGTATAATTTTCCGGTCGTAAACATGTAATTTCTATGTAAAATTACATGCATTTTTTTCAATGTAGCATTAAATAAAAATATCGTCGCTCACCGATTATGCTCGCAGTCGATATTATGGCTATTCATTGAAACTATCTTTCGCTTGACAAGCGATCACATTTCGCCTGATACTTACACGCTGGCTCGAATGACGTTGACACCGGTAATAGACGACGCGTGTTACAGACGCAGTCTCACTCGACGTGTGACGCAACAGCACAATCGCGCAAAAAGCGACATCATGTGCATGCTCACGCAGTGGAAGGATGCACCGCCGATTTACTTTCAATTTTGCCGTGCCGATCCTCGTGACTGATTCGGTTTTAACCAGCTCGGAAAACGTTTCCTCTTTCGAGGTCGTTCCCTGAGACGTCTCAACAATCGTGTTAACGATGTAAATTCCTTGTAATTCTCCGGAAGTCGTCTCTCCTCAGTTGTTTCTCAACCGAGAAAATTACGTTGCTACCGTAAGCATTTTTAATTGCGGCATTTATTTACTTGGCGGCAACACGACGACGGTCACATTGCAAAATATCACCTTAAAGTCACAACAATCTGTTTGCGATCTCCAACTGGCTTCGGCAACTACGCAGATCCGAAGTTCTCGGTTTGTAAACACGTGCGCCGTATATGTGCGAAATAACATTTACTTTAACGAACGTGATTAGCACACTCTGCATGTTTACGACGTAAATCATTGTTCGATTATGTTGCGATTTTTACCCGTGCTTCGGAAAGAAAATATTCGTGTGTGTGCGTACATGCGTGTGTGCCTACATACGTGTAGGAATAATGGAAAGTACCACTCTGTGTATTCTCGATCGTTTGGTTACACGATAAATCTATGTGTGTCATTGCGACAATTAAGTCGTCGATCTTGTTCGCGTTCTTTTGCTTTTACGACGTGGATGACAACCATCCGGGCATAGCGAAACAAAGTATCGTGATATCAATTACCAGAGACGTTTATCTGTTATGATACAAGTTTATTGAATCACTGGCTTGCGCAAATTAACAATGGCAATGGGCCTCAGGTTCCATTATCGCATATTTTCCAAAGTACCAAAATTTCTCCCACGTTCATGTTTTGTTTTAAATATTCGTGTTTTTCTTTTTTTTTCAATAGGATGGTGACATGATAATAACAATAATAATGATAATAATAATCCAAATAATAATTAATAATATAATAGTAATAATGATAATAATATACAATAATAACGGGATATGCGCGCTAATTGCGATAATAGTCAAGAGATATAACAAGTAAAATATACATATGCTCTTATGTATGTATATATACGTGATCATAATATATACATATTATGATGTCGTACCGTAAATTGCGAAATAAATTTCCCCATTCGATAAATAAAATAATACGAATCGCGTAAATTTCCTTTGATTAAGTGATATGGTTTGTTCGGTGACAAAAATTACCCCCGCCTCGTTCCTTTCACGACTCCAATCTCCTCTTGTTCCCGATGGATGTTTATCCCCAACGTTCAATATCAAATCTCTTCTAGTTTCTCTCCGGTTACTAACTAACTAATAAATTTTATATGTATAATAGCAATATATATACAATGCATGACCCGCAACGGCGAATGTGCGTAATAGGTAGAGTATCTATGCGAATGCACCTCGTGACAAAAAGCCATCGGTCCTCCTCTTCTAAGCTGGAACATTCAACTTATTTCGTATGCCTATGCGTCCTCCTTCCGGTTCTTTTTGCCTACGTGACCCTATTTTTCTTAAGAATGTTTCGCTCGTTTTTTTATACTGGCTTTACTTTTGACATTTCTATTTCGATATTTCTCTCAATTTAACGTCCTGTTTTATTATTGAATATTAGAAAGATATTATTTAATAATAAATCAACGATGTTACAATCAAACGTGCATCGAGAGATAGATGCCAGATGTAAACCCAGCATTAATTTTGTAATCCTGTAAATGGATTCGTTCGATTTGCCTAGCGAAATGACAGGCAAAAATAATTTCTTTTTTTTTTCGTGCTCTTCGCAGTGTCAATATGGATAGTATTAGTGTCGAAAATATCATCCCGCTGCATCTCGATCGAACGCATCATATCAACTTCAAGTCACGTGTTCGCGCTTGAACCGATATTTTCGGATTCGGAGCATAATTTGAACGCGAATGCATATATGTCGCCGATCAAATTTATCCTCGCGGAAGTACACTGGCTACGTCATTGGCACTGTCAAAGCAGAGGAATAAGAGAGAAGCTTAGTTTTGCTATGAACCAAAGTGAGATCCTTCGAGTTAAAAGGTGATCTCGACTATCGGTGGTCCTCGCTTTCCGGCCAAATTGTATCCGAGATCGCGCGAGAACGGTATCGCGTATTGTGAACAAAGTCTGCAATCGCACACAATCGGCGTTTACACGATTATTTACAAATTTACCTAGAGATATACAAGCTATGCCCTCGAGGCTAGAAAAAATACGGTCGCTCGAGCGCAGGAAGGCCGATCGTCGATCTGTCGCGAAATAGTGAGGAGAAGGAATACGAGAGATAACTCTCGCGATTTGTGCGTTTTCGCGAAATACGAGATAAACGTCAGCGAACCCGCCGATATCGTGGATCAAAGAGCGTTTGATACTAGTTTTACGTCTCGAATAATAATCATGGGACGATCATCTTCTTTCGCCAGACGTCCGCGAGATTTTATCGAAAGTCGTGTTTAATCTGCTTCTAAATTCGGCAGACACTAGTCGATAAGAATCACTTGTATATACAGAGATTGCGATTTTGCGTCTCGATGAATGATATTATCGCGATTGCGTGCGCGCGATTGTTACGATATGAATCATTCGCATTTTCAGAGCGCTAATATTTTTCTTAAACGTAGAATGTAAAAAGCGTTTCGAGAAAAACAACGTCAATTCTTCGCGTCGTTGTTTCAGGAAAAACAAGCGCACGTCAACCTTCGATCTCTCACCGGAAGGTGAGAAGAAGGGCGGAAGCACCAGAGTCTCGCATAAACGCATAATGTATAAGAAAATAAATCAACCAAAGTCCTTCATTTCCTTCCTTTTCATGAAATGAAAGACTCTGATTGGTTTTCTTATGCTTTATGCATTACGCGTATTATGCATAGGTGCTGCGCCTCGGCCTTCATTCATATTCATAGCAAAAACGTTTCTCTCAACTTGTGCGCAGATTCACATTCAGGTTGACACATTTCGCTATCGGGAAACTTCGTAATTCTAGACAAGATACCGTACGATGGATTCAAATCTCAACCGTCGATTCATTCAACGATAGTAATTGTAACTATAATCCCGCAGGGCTTGTAAAAGTTCGACGACTATGACAACTCTTTTTCTACGTCTCTTCTGTTTATATAATAAACTTACGCCTTAGTTTACCGTACAATCGTTGTGGAACGCTATAAATGCTCGGATGCGCGTTAGCGAATCTTTACGCGCACGGCACCACGGCTACAATTACGATCATTGCTAAGTATAACAATCTCTACTTTTAAGGAAACAGCCGTAAGTACGATTCGGATAATTCGACCTGAGTACCTGTACCGCTTCAAATTCGACAGCGCCAGCCTTAATAAAGAAGTGGTCGACAAGTTAAGTGGCTGACTTGTTAAAAAGTCGATTGTGTACAATTTGATCGTCGCTATTACTGCGCTCGAGCCGATCGTCAGAAAAGAGAAAATTATGACTAGAGAAGAAGATTCGTACGTCGGATACGATCGATCGGTGGCCCGCCCCCGAAAGGGCTCGACCTACTCTTACAAGTAGCGTTATTAAAGTATTTGGTGTAAAAATAGGTATGATACACAGGCGTCGGGAGTACACAACGCCCTCCCCTGTTTCCAAAAGACTCTTGTCGATGTTTCCCTCTCGCGCAAATCACAAACTGCGCTTAGGTGTTTCATCGGTTTTTCTTTTTCTCAAAAATTTTTGTCCAATAAATATTAGCCTGCCAATTAAAAAGGATCTAAGCGGCAAACGTCTAAAACGCCTTGTCAGAAAATTTTTGTCATAGACAGGTATTCTTATTTTACGAAAGATCTTCGAGAATGTAATTCATCATTCAAATTCTTTCAAATCCCTGTTGAATCTTGTCCTCTTTTCCTTTTTCTTTGAAGCTTAAGTCCTTTTTAATTTACAATATTCAAAGGTAAATCGATTTTAAATCCCCTCGAAAATACCTCGGAGATACTTCTTCGTCTGAATGCTGCTCCCTCTATTTATTCGTCTACTTAGATTTTCGCGATCGCTCGAAATTCGACTACGGCCGCCTTCGCGCGACAAAATCTCCGCCGAGATTGATCCTCTTCGAGTCTCCTTTTCGTCGGTCCCGATTCAAAGATTCCCTCTCTCTTAACGTAGCGCCCGCGGCGCGTAAGACTGAACGAACCGCTGGTGAAAGCCATTCCCGGCGATTCTTGGTGCGGCCACATTGCCGTTTCCCTTCGAAATTCTGACTCGGTGACGACCCAAAGTGTCGCGGCGCCACCGGGTCTCAGGTCACGTCCACGTTCACGAGTCCGTGAACCCGATCGTCGGCTGGCTGCTACGTCAGCAGTTTGAAGAACATCAAAGCTAGAGATATGTTGATGAAGAGCACCAGCATCACGAGCTGCTGGCGGGAGAACCAGTCCTGGAACAGTACGGGATATTACTTTATTAGTTTTCCTATCGCGAGCCACATTTAGCTTCGCGGTAAGTCAATTATTCTTCTTACATTCAATAGTAATTGGTAGATTTCTTACGGCTTACATCTTACAACACAATGTTACTCTTAATATAGATGATCCTTTATGCCTGTTCTGTAATAGCCGTGAGTGTAGTGGTTTTAGTTATAAGAACTGACCAATTATACACTCGAATACTCTCCTCATATTCCACTTGATTGATCAATTCTTACAACTACAACTAATTACAACTACGCTTACGGCTGTGTTGCAGAATAAGTATAAAATATTTCATTCATCATCTTGAGATACATGCACGAGAGTGATTTCATTCGGATGCTATACTCGCGACTCGCGATTGCGAAACTGGACCAAGCGGATGCTGATTTCGAGAACCGCGCGAGAACCTATTATAGAATCGTCGCGTTTCTCGTGGTGCGTTATATTTTTGCGTAGCAAGTCGAGACGCACAGGACTTGATCCGAAATAAACCGTAACACTCTGCCAAGTGCCGCTCCGTGTTTTCTCTTGTTTTTGTAACGGCGAGGGTTGATGCCGTTGTCAACATCGATAATAGTTTCGACGGTCATCGGGTAGAAACACGGAGGATACTCACTTTAACCTGCGGACTGACCAGGTACAAAAGCGGGTTTGCTCTGAGCCTCTCGCTCTCGTCGACTTGCCTACGGATCTCCTCTCTCCTCATACTGCTCAGAAAACTGACTTCTTCCCTCGACAATGGTGAGGTGGCTGTGAGCTGGATCGGCTGCGCTACGTCCGGCAGTGACTTCTTTCGTTGAAGGGGCATTGCCGCTACCGGCATCGCCTGCACGAAGGAAATAAACGAGAAACAAAAAGAGAGATGGGCCTCGAGCGACGAACGCGAATTACTTATCGACACTATGTACATTGCCTTAACGTCTTATATAGCATTAAACGGGTATACAACGGAAAGAGAAAAACGGAGTTATTGTCAAGCAATAGCAATTATACTTTTGAATATACTTCTTACAAGGAATAACGTTAAGTTCAAAAAACTAGGTGAGGTAACGTATTGGTTATTTTATAATTAAACATCTATTTTTAATAAAGTCCAACGTTTGAGGATCGGTTTCGTGAACATGTAATGTGCAAGGATTTGTTGTATTTTTAACTCTTAAATACATGTCGTTCGTATTTACAAAATTGATGAAGTTATAAGTATTTGATTGAGAATCAAGCAAACTAACAAAGCGAAAATTCTATAATGTATTTAAAGAATTTTATTTTTGTACAGAGGTTTCTTGTAAATTTGCAAAAATTGCTTATTTTTTTTCACTCTAAAAAATGAGAAAACTCTTTTAATTTGTGTTCTATTCTGTCCAAGATTATTAACATGTTTTTCCATTGTATTTGTTGAAGCTTTTGTTTTATATCAGAGCTGTAAACCATATAGCACATAAACCAGCACATAAACCAGCGTTTCTCTTGTTTGAATTTCTGTTTGCTCGCTTGCGTGACGTCAAAAGTTAGACAGCTCTGTTTTATATCGGTTCGTGAAACTACCATTGAATTTTAAACTATTGACTATTCAGACAATTGAGTTTTTTGTTTAATCTTCTACGTACAGTCAATCACAGTATTGGTCACAGGATTATGTTATCGTGATTCGTTAAGTCTCAAATTCTATCATTCTAGCAGCATTCTTCACGAAACCGATTCAAAATCAGTTGTGTTAGAGCAACGAATTCCCGTAATTACGTGTTTTATTAATTCAGCATTTCATGCGAACGCAACGGGTGGCGAGGAGAAAGATAGAGCACGAGCGGAAGGGAGGGTCTTTGGAGCCGTTCCAAACCTAAGAGAGAGACGAGGTTTTCGAGCACTGAGTGAGATACAAGGGCCGAGGGGGGTTTAATTCTAAAACAACTCGTCGTATCGACCTTCACATTCTTATTGTACGACTAAATAAACTTTTCAAAGATCGTAGTTCTAAGGAAAAGCTATATATCTGTTAAATGAGATTTCAAGCAAAGAGTAAATAACTATAAAAAAAGTAATTTGAATTACAGTCAAGAATTCCCTTTTTGATACAAAAATTCGTTCGTACCACGGTTATAAAAAAATTCCATACCCATCGCGTGATATTCTAAACATTATGTGTGGCAAATTAGCCAATAAATTCTAAATATTACATAACTGTACACGTTCTATTTCTTGTCGCAATAATATATGCATGGCATATAATTGTATACAGGTTGTTAAAATAAGAATCGAAGATTTATCGTTAGAGAGCACGAACTGACTTAATAAGTGTGATTAAAAGTTTTCAGTTTGATCAATACATATAACTTATTTGCATTTTTATGTAGAACGGTATAGATTTATAAAATTTTTTGTACAAATCGATTCTAGTCATTTTTTTATTCAATTTACCGAGTATCTGTTCTCTAAGCCTTGAATCTTATTTTTTAACATCTTGTTAATAAGTCATGCATATTAAATTGCAATATTACAAAAAGCCTCTTGTCTTGCATTGAATATTTTCGCATATCGCATGTCCTTATCTCTTGCAATCTTCTTAAATAAGAACAGCAGTTAAATAAGAGGCCACACGTTTTTTTTCTATATACACTACATTTATGCAATCTATTGTGTTTGCTAACTGCACTCGTTTATTACGACGTGTTTTACTCGTAAACTCTCCACCCTTCCACACTTTATCGAGCGTGCCTCGTTGTCGCTAAGCACAGCTGATTCCACCCCTAATGATCGCGCGAGCAAACAATGTTCCCCCCCATTCGTTATCTATTGCGTCGTTTTTTTCCCTCATCTTCGTCCTGTACTTTCTTCTAGAAGAAAATTCTAAAGAAAATTGTTTGCCCACCCTGCATGAACTTTTACGCATTGCTCAACCTTGGTTATTAAAATGTTAGAACGTGAATTCGCGTACCTCCACAGGAGGTGCTACGATCCAGGACTCCGAGGCCCGCCTGGCCATCAGAGCTGGACTGCATAGCAAAGCCTCCTCCTCCTCGTCCGCCTCGATCCAAAACATCTCTATTCTCACGATGATTCGTAGGCACCCTCAGAATACATCAAAATCTTTCGAGTTTTTAACCACCCACGAAGAAGAAAATCATTCCCGTTCGCTTGGCTCAATTTTTCTTTTTTTTTTAAATTGCACTTTTGTTTCGTACGATGTATTTGTTGATTTCATAAACTTTTCTTTAAAATCTGTACCGGACTTACAATTCTTGACGTTGATATGTTACAGTTTTCTCCGATTATCGGACTTCCGATATGATTGACGGCCGATATTATTTGCAAGGATAGACCAGGTCCGTGTTATATATCGTGATTAAAGATCTTACAGTTAATTGTTAAATAATTTTCATTAGATTGTCACTTTTACGTTACATCGTTACAAAATCAAGCGAACACTGTTTTTTTTTTTCGAATCCACGTTAAATTCGAAAGATCATCCCGGAAGCAATAATCGAGCCAACTGGCGCTTCCGTTCACACAGAGCTTTCTTCTCTTTGCCTCTTTCTCGACCGGAAATGTCTTTTGAAACTGCACAAGCGTGTGTTTGCATTCGAGCGCGAAACCCGTTCGCTTATTTTTCGGCCATTTTTCGACGATTTCCGGGCACGAAAAGGGGCAAATCGAAGTGTAAATTACGAATTCGCAGCCTCCCGGTAAGGAAGCTGGACCGCAGACTGAACGGCCCTGGCTAGCACGACCAAAATAGAGCGATGCCCCACTATCTTTGAAATAACTTTGCCGAACGTCGCGACGCCCGCGGAGATCTGCGTCGGGACGCTGCCAGAACCCTGTCGATCCTTGCAGCTGATTTACGAGGCTGTTTTATAACAGCAAATATGACATGAGAAAAGATTATGCTCCAATCTCAAAATTCGACCCACTTTTGGTTCACTGACGTTGGCAAAATTATTCGGTTTCTCCCAAAAAATCTCTTGCAAATCTCCAGTTTTTCTTAAATCTTTTCGAAATAGCTGAAGTTATTTTGAAGTTTTTTAAATTATTAAAATATTATTAAAAAATTATTAACATATTGGCAAATAAAGAATTCGAAATTTGAATTATAAATTTTATCGTACCATCGTGAGACAAATTTTACGCAAATCAAGTCCAGACCCAAATTATCTGATTCATGCGTTTGGCATGCGATGGAATATATAATACAGCGAAGATTTCGGGATTTTCGTGCGCCAAGAAAACGTCCGTCCCACTTATTTGCAATTTCTTTGTCTGTCATTTATCGCGTTGCGCAGCCTGTTCGTTGTTGTAGATTAGTTAGTTGTACCCGGCGAAGTAATTCGACTGGCATGGTGCAACGGTTTAATTTGCTTCGCTAATGGCGCGATTACTTCGAGGCAGTTCCCTTATCGAATCGATTGTTTAATCCGATTTAATTAATGCATGACGCTAATGACGTAATATTTTTTCACGATGGCAATTATATTCACGTCGATACAAATTTATCTATCCTCAATCGGATTAGCACAACAATAAACAATGGCGAATAATGAATGGTTTGTTACAATTGTTACGATAAAGAAAACGTTAATATTTCGTAACTTTTGAAGATAATATTTCGTGATGTTTTTTTACACGTTGTACGACTCAAATGAAACTTGAAATTATAAGAAATAATAATAAAGTAATTAATATTAAAACCGGAATTTCCATGGCCTCGTTCACAAACTGCATACAATTGCTTAGCCTTCATTGTTCGCGATCTTCCTCGTGAATCTACATATTGCCCACAATTTCCATAGAACTCGTTTGAATATTATGATTGCTCAATTGAATCTTGAAATATTAATATCTTATCATGTAAAACGCACATACTTCAGCAGCCATTAATCGTTTTCAATATCCTATTCGATATCGATTTTTTGTTTCGGCGAATATGCTAATATTATTTAGTAGCTTTTCTGAAAAAATGACAACAGACAATAAAGGCAGTAAGAGGTCCGATTTACGCGATACTCTCTTTAATCTGTCATTAACAACAGCTTATACATGATATACATAAATACATTCAGTACATCGAATGCAACGTCGTTGTTTGGTGAACGAAAATCGGTACAGTTTCTACATTAAGATCGACTTTCTCACGGAATGTAATCTGGAAATTTAGCGAATATGCATATTATCTATTTCGATCCTCGTTTGATCTTTTACATCTATATGACTACATATCTACAAATAATTGTGCGTCACACTATAAATTAGAACGTGATTATATCTGATTCATTAAATATCTAGAAAAGCTTTTATAAAGTCGGAAACAGAACAACGCTTATCGCAAGGTTGGCACTTGAGTGCAAGATTAAGAAAAGTACTACGTTTTCAACGTTGACGAAATGTCGATGCTTCTCTCGTGCTTACTTCTTCCCAAACAGTTCGATACTATACTTGAAAGTCGTCATAAGCGAGTAACTTGTGAACACATGGGTAGATTAACGGCTTAAGTCAGAATTCAAGTGTTTGTTTGGGAATGTTGCATTTAAAGTTGCACTTGTGCATTATATTGTTGCATTTTATGCGGACCCGCACAAATCATTAGACTCTTCCGCGCGACATTTCTTTTTTTTTTTTGTGTGTGTGTGTGTGCAACCATCGTTATTGTCGAAACCATGATTTGTGACTTAAGATGTTAACGCAGATATATTAAATATCATTAAATCGGTCCTGTATGAAAATATATAGTGAGTATTCCTTCATAGTTTAATTAAAATCTTCAAAGAGTAATATCTTGTTTGTGCGATCAATATAATTTCTATCAATTAGAATTTTATACTCCGATTATATAGACCATTTAAGAGTTAGGCTCACAGTTACAGATATCATTGGCAAATTCGATCGTTAAAGGTCTGCTCTTAATCTTATTATCATACATAATTTCGCCACATCATTTGCTCATAAATTCGAATATTAGCCTTATTTATATGGAACATATTCAACGTCTGTAATCTGGACGTTTTTCCTGTATAAAGAATCATTAGCGTATAAATATATTTGACACAGACGGTTCAAAAACTCACGTTTCCAGTTCTCTTTCTTCTCGAGAGCGTTCGTTTCTCAGTATATAAAATAAGCTTTCGCATTTCGCACATATCTTTCCCTTCGCGTTAACAGTGGGCGGTAAATTATTCTACGCGATGATTCTTATGCGTGCGCGATGTGCGTGAAACAAGTATTGTACTACAATATAACGTCCGTATATATACATGTATATCGGCAACGGCGACTAACATCGTAGATTTAATTAGACTCCTGCGTGCTTAAGGCTCGTTTCGTATCGAACGTCTCCCTCACGATTTTACTTTCATTTTAACAAGTTTCTATCTGTGCACAATATGGCGCCAAATATATAGACTCGAATTCACGATAAGCATGCGTTAGAAAAACAACGTTTCCAACCAGAAAACAGAAAAAAGAAGCGGCGTGGAGGTGGTAGATAAATGAATCTCTCGTAAAGCTCGTACATTTGCAATCTCGACAAGTGATGATAATTAGCAGTTACCCTCTCTGTGATAGCAATACTAATATTTGATAAATCAAATATAAGACCATCTGGGTTATGAGCTTGAACACAGCATGGTAAAATTCAACTAGAGAGCCATATATCTGAGAGTACAGATTGAGTGGTATCGATCGGTCGAGTAATCTAGGCGAATAATCTAGGAGAGGTGGCTAGCGAAGAGAGAGGGCTCGGAAGAAGGGTCGAAAAAGACTTAAAAATATAGTTGAAGAAGGTTAAAATAGAATGGAAGAGCAAAAATATGGTCCCCGCCTCCACGCCACGCGCTAGGCTTACCTTCCGAAGTCCGTTAATTAGCGGTTAATGGATGTAATAAGCGTGCGCCAGCTTTAGCTCAGCTCCGCGCACGAGTTTATATTCATATATGTGCGCATGCAATTAACGTAGATTGCCTAATTCTTAATTCGAGTAGCTATTCTCAAAAGAGAGAGGGAGAAAAAAAACGGAATGTCACATATAATGTAGAAGAATTGTGCGCGAACAAGGATTCGTTTCATTTTTTTCTGTCATTTTACAAAGTGGAGAGCCAACTTGCATTATATTACTCCGCTTTAGCATAATCTTTTCTGTGCAAATATCTATACATATACATATATCGTACATATACACAGACACTTCCGTTTATGCTTGTAAAGATAGTTTATGCACTCGCGTTTAATCTGAGATGCGCGTATTAATAATCTTATTTGACCATAGTGTACCGAGCAGAAAAAATAATAATCGGAGGGCATTTAGTTGCTTCTTCTCTCTTGCTGAAAGGAACTGTACATGTAGTGTTACATTTATTGTTCGTTGAACTGGTCCGTCGGCGATCTCGCATGTTACCCAATGAGCATAATAGATCGTATCTCGAATTGATACAATGAGGCGACGTCGTCGTTGCCAATTTACGTTTTCAAGCGCGGTTTGCGAAATCTGCTAATCCTCTTTAGCATATAATTCCGTTTCTCAATAGCGTTGCCTAACGACAGCAATCTTCTTTCATGACCAAGACGAAACACGATCTAGGATACCTCGGAAATATTTAAGCTCTACCATTTCTTGTCGACTACGTTTTGATCGTCATTTATTTAAACCTGAAATAAATGCACGCTCTCTTTATCAGCTCCAACGGATTAAACGGGACATGCTATCTTCCCTCCAATTCATCGCGCAATAGCGAAGTATTAATCGTTATTGCCAAACGTTGATACGAAACGGATTTATTCCAGGATTAACGCTGATGATCAAAAATTGACAATAATTCTAGATTGTTCGCGTGAGTGAACGAATCGTGTCACTCACTAGGCTCGCAGTGTTCCCATAGAAAAATAAGTCGGTCTCCCATAAATATGCATTGCTCATTTCAAATGCGCTTCCTTCAACCGCGATTCTATTAATGAGCGTCTTTATTGTTCGACATCGCGGCGAAGTTAACAGCTAATAGCAATCTATACCAGGTACAAATGTCTCTTCCATTAAGCGTTACGTCCCATAACATAGCACCGAAATTTTTCACGAAAAAATGTTCATTACTAGAAAATTCTCTCATTTTCATATAAGGCCCCGCTCTGGAAACCTACCTCACATTTTCAACGTATAATATTAAGTGAACGTGCGTAAACTGCGAAAATTCAACCAGTCCGAACGGGAACCGAACAAGTCGGTTCTGCTCGCGAGCCTGCTTCGACAGCTACATTAACATAATTAACTATTCAGACACAGCGTTTAAGCCGCGCCATCGCGTCTCTGTTAGTTAAGGTAATATCGGACGATGCAGAGATTCGTAAATTCATAGAAAAATATCGTCAATGCGCGCGTTCAAAACTGCCCCGAGACGAGATTGGTTATCGGAACTTAATTCGTTCTGAAATATTGAATGCCGAGGTGAGTTGGGCGGAAACGGCGATCGGGGTTGCGCGAATCGTGATATCTTATATTTCCGATTCGGCTCGAAATGCAACGTGAGCCTATCGAAAGCTGCGCTTCCTTGCCAACCGCTATTATATAACATCGTTCTGTATATATATTTTATACTTATACTTATAGGGTTGCGCGGCCCTTTGACGTTGCGGCGAAGGCGGGGACCGTCCGGCCTGCTTCCTGGGATGGCATGCACAGAACACAGCACAAAACGCCACACAGTTACACAGAGAGACAAATAGAGACAGAGAAGAGAAGAGATACAGATAGGTAAGGTAAACTAGATAATAAGAGAGGCGAATATGGTGAGAAAAATCTGAACGAGGAAAAACGGGGAGAAAATGGGGTGCGTCGAGAACGCAGGCGAGGTGCAAGAAATATATCGTAATAAAAAAATGCAACTTTAAACATAGTCGAGATGATACTCGGGCTTATGAAAATAATTCCGGAATCGTTATATTTGGAAT